TTTTCTTTTTCTTACCTCTTCCTTTCTCTCGCCTCTCACCCCCGTCCCCCATAAATAATCGAAAATGAAAAGTTCATCTGTCAGAAAGAATTTTAGGTTGCACATCAGACGCTTACTTTTTGTGGAGTTGCTCTTGTTCTCGTTTGGCTGAAATATAATTGACATGCGTGGCGCATCTACCAACTCTAGTCGATCCTTAAGGAAAAAATATATGCTCTCTACCTTATTAGCATCGATTGAAACGTAATGGCCAAAGGTTTTTACGTATGCAGTTATAAAGGAGCTGAGATATTAGTTCCTACGGTGACCGTTAATCATTTTATGTTTGTCCCTTCTCGGTCTTTCTCTTATCGATTTTCATGGTCTCACTTGTCTTCTTTGTTAAATCCTATTTCTCATGTCACACACTGCGTCAGTTATATTGTAAATAAACACCTTGCTTAGAATGTGATTAATTTCTTTTTTTTAAATTATTTTGTCCTTCCTTTGTCGGCCCCTCCATTTCATTTGGTACGATGACAGTTACACTTCTGGTGTCTGTTTCTAAAATACTTGATTGATAGCCTTATTTTGCTTGCTGTTATTGTGCTGTGTTGGTGGCTAAGCGGCTCGTCGACTGCCTCAGTGCTCCGGCTTGTCGAGTTGCGCCGTCGACTCCTTGACTATATTTCGGGGTAGTAGGGTCTGCGTCCCTTGTGAGTCGTTTGGGTCGCCTCCACAATATCACAACACCGTACTGGATTGACATTGCTTAACAGTGCTGACACAGTCGCTTTGTACAGGCCGCTTCGCGTCATTACATGACCTACCTAGGAGGCAGTCATGGTGCAACAGTTGTGTGGTAAGCTGTCGAGAGCTAGTGTATAAGAGGGAGATACCTCCTTTTGGGATCCGGTTCGTTATTTTTCGTCGAATTCAGCACACCTTCATCTTCGTCAGTCTTATCATCATTCTCAGCTTCTACTGGTGATCAAGCCCTTTTAAGCAAGTTTTTGACGCAGACTACGAAGGTATTAGGAATCTATGATGTACGTTAACAGAGTTAACATTTATCACTAACCATATCACACTACACACGCACAATCGACCTGAGCTTAACTGGTAGTGTTTGACTGTTTCCAGCTGCCATGGCATTACCCGGCGAGCCTCCCGCGAAGAAAACCAAAACTGAAGCCTTCCTCTTGCAGTTTACCTTCTACTCTCGCAGAAATTTAACGATTTGTTTACACATCCCCTATCATTCTTATCTTCTAAACTATCCAACATGTCCCCAATTACGTAGCGAAATGGGGCACTGTACTGATGATTTTCACCCTATTTCGCACCATTTTGGTCGTCTGTGTTAACAGTTCACGGATGGAACACAGACGTCACCCAATGCAAATACTGGCTAGCGTAAAGGCGAATTCTTCGCCTTGCTCCCCTACTCCCTATCCCAAATGATAAAACCCTAAAAATAAAATAAAATAAAGCAAATGATGTGTCATCTTTCAATGACATTCCACCGGCACGTCGGGAATCGACGTTCCCAGCGGAGATCGGATTTCCGACAGGAGTCCGATTCCCCTGTTCCCATACTACCTATCCTTCCGCCACTTTTCTTATCGTAGATGAGATCTACGACGATCGAATCCCGTCTTCCATTCCTATACAAAACATTCTCAATCCCCATTGTCGGGAATTGTGACTCATGATATTACTTGCAGGAAGAGCGGTATATATGGTCGAGGGTCCGATGTTCGAGGTCCGCGTTCACCTGCTTGCGACAGTCCCCCCTGACACGCTTCGTCTGTACTCTACTTCGTTTCGTCTGTGATCTACTTAATCCTACGCTCGTGCGTCAGTAACTGGTATTTTGTGTAACAAAACGGGTCCTACTTTAGTCTGCACGACACCTTTCAGGGGTAGTTCGGTCTACTGGCATACCCGGTACCTAGACTCAGATAATCACACTTTTTCTGGTAGCAGCGAGTGGTTTCGATCCACCGACCTCTAGGTTATGGGCCTTTATCATCTAGACGGACCGGCATGCACATTACCAGTCATCCCAGACGAAGAATAACAGACCTTACAAGAGGCTGGCGCGGAAGAGCTGCAAAACATGCCAGAACATTCACATGAACACCATCAATTCCATATACCACAAAGCCATACCCAAAATTCAAAACCCCCAACACACACGTATAATCTGCGCAACCGTCATACATGCGCTCGTTCAACATAATCGATCCCTATGATAACGTGAACGAGACAACTGATCCATATTATTTCAGAATGGAACAAAGCGACGGTGAAGAAACTGATAAGTGCCACGTAAGACTATTGGCCGAAGAAGATCAGAAAGCCCATTCTGAACGAACTATTAAGAAAAATGAAAGGAAAGCACCTGCCCAATCTTGGCGAATTTATTCAAATGAAGCAGCTGCCCAATCTGGGCGAATTTATTCACAACAACCAACCATCGTATTCGCTCACTCTAAGCGAATTTATTTAAATCCGATACCATTTCCTACTGCTCAATCTGAGCGACTTCTTTCTAAAAAAAGAACTCTGCCGGATGAGACCACGGAAGCGAAATCAGTTAAAGCTTCTGGTTACCAGAAACTGAAAATCTATCTGCTCAATCTGAGCGCATTATTTCAAAGTCTTACTTCACCTGTACAAACACCAACGTCTGCTCTGGACGAATTACTTCATCCAATACTACTGAACCGAGCACAAGCTCAGCCAAGCCAGAAATATCTGGCATTTCATCTTCATCTGTAGTAGCCTACGGGCCTATCATTAACTGCAACCCTCCAGTATACTACACTGTGGTGCAAGTATTCAAGGATGTGGCTAACTGCGTCATATCACCTGGACAATCCCCAGATCTCAGGGACATCGTACTAGTCCTTCCGAGCCCATCCTGCTTTAACCCGCCGCCTATCAGCCGCGTCTTACAATGGGCATCTGACCGCTGCAGTGACTGAAGCGCAACCCACCATCCTAACCAACTCAGAAATAAGGCTTCCATCATCGTCGGAACCATTAGTCCATATTTTTGAAGAGGGACCTGACGCGTGATGCAGTGCGGTCAAGAGTGAGTCAAGCTCAAGGACGCATTGTGGAAAAACTGGCGCACAGTCTCGGCAAGGTCATTTCGAGTGAAGTATCGCTCACGATATTATGCCTTTATCTTGGAACCAAGCGGGTACTCCATAAGACTTTCACCCTACTGGAAAACTGGACGTTGATTCATTCCAAGGACGAGAAGCAGACATTATCATTCTCATAACAATGAGAACGACATCTCCCCTGGATTCCGAACAAACAGGTCTGGAATTTTTCCACAACAATTACTGGATCACTATAGCCCTGTCGCGGGCACATGGCATGTTCGTCATTGTGGATTTCCCGCTATTGCTGAAAAATGACCTATGGAGACCCTTTCCATACATGAAGAAGGCTACATAATATCCACTCTTTATTGTAAAAGTCACTTTCCCTATTAATAGGTTCACTTTCCCTATTAATAGGTTTTTTTACTTCACTTTCCCTATTAATAGGTTTTGTTCCCTCCACAGGAACGTGCACCCTTCGATTCACGACGGAACTATATATAGTCAACTGATTCGCTATTTACGCATTGAGTCCTCCTCTCAGGGATTCATACGTTCGACAC